ATGTCACAAACTGGAGCACACTTTGGTTCCTGTTCAGTGCGAGCTTAGAACATTTCTAAGTTCTTTTTGTATCTTGATGATTTCACCTTTAGGATAAGAGAAATATTTTCTTTCTAAAAGAGTGGTTGAGACTTCATATCCTGATAGGCAGCCTCTAAGATGACCCTTATGTCCCAGAATTTACATTCCTGTATAATTCACTCCCCTGGAGTCACTCAACCTATCCTAACAAATAGGATACAGCATAAAGGATGGGATGTTACTTCAGGGATTGGGTTATAAAAAGACTGCTGTTTTGCAAACTTGATGACATTTCCTTAGTTCTCCTTTGATTCTCACTTTTATTTGATATTGTGAATGACTCCTGATCCTGAGAACTTGTTATGTAAAACTGTAGGAAACAAGACTGGGGCAGAATAGGAATACAGGTGGCATATAGCAAAAAAGATTAAGCAACCCCAAAACTGTGGCATAGCTAAGCTGGCTCTTTATAACTTGTGTCAGATTTATTTCACTTAAGAGTATAGTCTCAAAGTGCATCCATTTTCCTACAAATGACTCAGATTTACCCTTCTTTATGACAGAGTTGTACTTCATTGTATATAAATACCACATTTTCTTTATCCATTCATCTGTTGATGGGCATAGAGGCTCTTTCCAGGATTTAGCTATTATAAATTGTGCTGTTATAAACATGGGTATACATATATCACTGTGGTATGATGCTTTTAATTCTTTTGAGAAGATACCTAGGAAGGGAACAGCTGGGTCAAGCTAGTTTTAGTTTTTCATGGAATCTCCATACTGATTTCCACATGGTTGTAACAGTTTACACTAACACCAGCAATGGAGACATGTGCCTTTTTCCCCACAGCCTCACCAGCATTTGTTATGGTTGCTTTCCTGATGATAGCTGTTCTTTCTGGAATAAGATGGAATCTTAGCATTGTTTTAATTTGTATTTATGAATGATCAGTGATGTTGAGAATTTTTTCATATATTTGCTTGCTGTTTGTACTTCTTCATCTAAGAAGTTGTCTATTCATTTCAGATGCTCATTTTTGGATTGGTTCTTTAAATTTA